GCCGGGCAGGGGCAGCGAGCCGCAGCTCCTTGTCACCACACAATCCTGAGGGTGAACAACTGCTACACTGACGACCATTCTGCACCCAGACAACCATTCTGTTTGTCACTTTTAGTACAATATTCAATCAATGACACGAGATATTCAACACTTTATTATAAAGTAGGCTTTGTATTAGATGATTTTGCCCAACTGTAGGCTAATGTTTAAGTGTTCTGAGCAAGTTTAAGGTAGGCTGGCCTAAGCTAGGATGTTCGGTAGGTTAGGTGTATTAAATGCATTTTCCACTCATGATATTTTCAACTTAACTGGTGTTGGCTTTATCAGGACGTAACCCCATCATAAGTCCAGGAAGATCTGTGTGTATATATATATGTATATATATTTAAGGTCGGTTGAGTGCAGACTTAGACAGGGATTTAGAATTTAGACAGCATAGGCAGTCAGAGCTGAAAGGCCCTCGGAGATGGGGACACCCAGGAAAAGGAAATAACCTATCACTGGTCACATAGGAAGGCAGAGGTGGACCTGGGGCCACAGCTGCAGCTGTATCCATCAGGGTCCACTCAGGAAGACAGAAACCACTTTGAGGGTTTGGGACAGAGGGGATGAATGCAGGGAAGGTGACATAGCACAGAAGAGGTGGAGAAGCCAACCAGGGGGTGGTGAGGCAGCCGGCACCAGCAGGCAGCACCTTCACCGCTGCCGGCCTAGACAAAGGGAGGAGGTGGTGTCGGCAGAGTGCAGGGCCCCCGCCAGCCGGGCAGGGGCTGGAAGCAGAGCGGGCTTGTCCTGCGGGAGCTGGAGGGTGGAGGGGACTCAGGGATGAGGCCACTCGTGGAGACACTGGTGGGAGGGGTACCCTGGCTGCTCACATCCCCTTGCCCTCTGACCTCCCTCTAGCTCCTCCTCCCGTTGACCAAACCCAGCCTGAGGGAGGATCCTGGAAGTTCGGCCTGCAGGGTCAGCCCGTCTGCCCTGCAGAGCAGAGCCTGGAAAGGACAGGAAATGGACCTGAGGCACGTGGGCCTAGACCCCGGGGAGTGAGATAAACAGCCCCCATTCCTGGCTCTGTGCCTTTCCCTGTGTCCCACCAGAGCTGCAGGGACAACCACAGCATGGGGCGGGGGACCAGCCGTGTGACATAAACCAGCCTTCGCCAGACTGGGAATGGGAAGGTGAGGACTCAGCCAGCCCGTGCTGTTGGCCTTGGTGATGCAGCCAGTCTCCACCACCCCTCTGGGCACGGCCACCCCCTGCCTCCTCCCACAGGCCGTTGCCACGTGTCCGAGTCGTCGGGACGCCATAGCCAATGTGGCCTGGGCAAGGTTGGAGAGCAGGCCCCCCTACCCTGGTGGGACGCCCCTAGAAGGCCCATAGAAGGGCTGTCCAAAGTCGCACTGAACAGCTCTTTCCGTTCTCACGGGCTCCTCAGCCTCCGCAGGACCCTGGGCAGAGACGACTCACATAGCAGCCACCCCTCTGTACAAAACCCCTCAGCCTCCCCTGGGCAGGGCTTCCCCGCTGCTCAAGTTCTCTCTCCCACAGACCTCAGACCCTTCTCCACCAGACTTGGTCGGCCCTCGCCCAGCCAGTTCCCTGGGATCCAGGTTCGCTTTGAAGCAGTGTGGCCCAGAGCAGACAGCACACTTCCTTGTTTCATTGCCAGAATTCTCTTTTTGAACCGTATTGCATAAACAGCCTCATCTGCTTACACCTTAAGCTTTCTTGTGGATGTTTCAAACAGTTGTTCCTGAGAGTTTTAACAATGTGCAGTGTTGTTAAACTTATTTTACATCTTCTTTACAAAGCGGATCTATAGAAACTGCATGGAGCATAGCTTGCTTGGGAGGATATTTGCTGTCTTGGTTTCTATAGAAAGGTCCTCCGTTTACATGCATTGCCTCCAAAGTGTGTTTATAAATCAAGGGTTTGGGACACGTTTTCTTTCCTTCATTTGGTAATTCAATAAAGATATATTTGTGTCCAGGTTCACTGACCCATGGAAACCACGTTGTAAATGTAGACTAACGCCCAGGCTAGCCCAAAGCCAACTTCATCCATCTGGCATGTGGTGGTGTAAGCTAGTCGCAATCTAACCACCGCCTGGAGCACTGTGTAGGAAACGCAGACTTCGGGAACCCATCCCCTAAACCTGCCAAACCACAGGTTCCCACCCCACTAAGAAGAGAACATGGCATCACAGGGGAGCCTCCCGGCTGCCCCGGGGTCCTTCTGCCGTGTGGGCTGTACAGACGTGTGGCCTGGGGAAAGAGGCTGGCCTAGGTTTTTTGTTTCCCCCTGAATGATTTTCTGTTTTACTTTTTCATTGTACTAGTAATACATGAACATATGCTCATTTTAAAGTTTTTACACAATAGTGTATTAGAATATAGTATAGAACTATAGAAAGTACAAAGTGAGGTTCCTCTTCACTATCCCCCCAGTCCCACACCTCTTTCCAAACACGACCACAACAACAGATATTTTAAATGCACTTGCAAACATACAGACGCGTATATCCATGTGCAGTTTTTGTTCTGTTATCTTTTACATACACGGGATCATCCTATATATATTATTCTGCACTTTGCTTTTTCCACATGATATCTTGGAGAGCTTTCCATGCCAGGACATATAGGTCCGCTGCATTCTCGTGTGTGTGTGTGTGTGTGTGTGTGTGTGTGTGTGTGGTAAAATATACATAACATAGAAGTTACCATTTTAACCATTTAAGTGCAATTCATTGGCACTAATTACATTGGCAATGTTGTACGACCATCACCACTGTTTCCAAAACTTTTTCATTACCCCAAACATAAACTCTGTAACCATTAAGCCATTACTTCCCATTCTCCTCTCCCACCAACCCCTGGTAACCTCTAATCTACTTCCTGTATCTATGAATTTCCCTATTCTAGATATTTCATATAAATGGAATCATACAATATTTGTCCTTTTGGGTCTGGCATATTTCATTTAGCATAACATCTTCAAGATTTATCCATATTGTAGCGTGTATCAGAATGCTGCATTTAAATCACTATATATTATTTCATTGTATGAATGCAGCATGATTTATATCATAAATATTTATACCAATGGGAAATATTGAAAATTCTGTCCACTTCTCTCTATCACCAACAATGCTGTAGTGAACATCTTGGTACACAAATCTTTGTGCACGTGTGAAAACGTTTTCTGAGATCAATTCCTGCAAGAGGAATTGCTGCATCAAAGGATGTTTGCATTTAAAACTTTGACATTTTCACACTGCCCTCTAAAAACGCAGTCCCAGTAGACACGACCACCGCAGAGTATGTGAGTGCCTGTTCCACACACCCTGACAGACTCTCGTGTTACCCATCAGTTCAAATTCTTCCAGTCTGATGGCTCGAAAATATTTTCTGGTTACATTACTCACTGTCTTGATCGCTGGGGAGGCTGAGTACCTCTTCATACATCTGTTGGCACTTGCCTATCTTTGGCCCATTTTTAAATTCAATGATTTCTTTTTTTTGCCATACGTTATGGATAGTAAATCCATATCGTTTGTTACCTGTTGTGTAGCTTTGTTGACAGCACCTTCCCTTTTGGGAAAGGTTTCATTTTTTATGTGACCAACCTGTCATGGCTTCCATTTAGCTGTCTGAGTCTGGAGTTTCTTTTACAGAGGTCTTCCCTTCCCAAATTTTTAGAAATAAAATTGTTTTGTATTTCATTCTAAATAATAGGTTTATTATTTTTTTTTAATGTGTGTTGCTTTAATCTATTTGGAATTCCTTTTTTCTTTGTTTACCTTTTATCGTGGAAAATGTCAAGTATACACACGTATTCATAGCAAATCCCAGACATATTTCATCGGTAAAAGTTTTGGCATATTATCTCTACAAGATAAGGACTCATGTTTTAAAATACATAAGCATAGCGTCATCATCACACCTATGAAAATTAACAATAGTTCCTTTATATCAACAAACATCCGATCAGTCACATTCCCGATTGTCTTTTAAATGTCACATTGTATTTATTTGTTTGAATTAGGAGAGAAATAAAGTTTTCAAAATGCAATTGGTTGATGTTATTTCTTACGTTGATAGTTAACATGTTCTGTTTCTGATAAGTCGTCTAAATTGAATCTTTGTTAGGTTTAGAGGCTGGATCAGATGCAAATTTGCATTTTTTGGCAAGACTACTTCATAGGTGGGGTTCTGTCTGAATTTATTTTTCTATATGTTATAAGATAAAGATGTAACTTGAAATCTTTTTCAAATACATCATTGATTGCCTATGTACCAATACCACTTATTGAATAGTTCACTCTTTCCTCCCAATAATTTGAAATGCCACCATTATCACACACACACACGTACACACACATATATATTTTTTGGTCTTTTCTAAACTCTTTATTCTATGCTCTTGATCTCTTTGTCTGTGCCTAAGCCACGTGGTTTTAAATCCTGTAGCTTTACTGTTTGGTATTTAATAATGTAGCTTGTCCTTCATTAAACTTTTTAAAGCAATTTTTGGCTTTTCTTGTGCTTTATTCTCCCGCATGATAATTTAATATTTGTTTAATCTGTATGTTAAGAGTTTGGGATTGCATTGACTTTATAGACTAATTTGAAGACAAATAGCATCTTTACAGTAATGAATTTTCCCAGCCAGGGGTACAATTTTTTCTTCCAGATATTCAGAGTTTTTTAAAAATGTGTTTCAGTACAGTTTTATACTTTTCTTTATCTAAGTCTTTACAGTTTTGGTTAGGTTTATTTTTAGATATTTTGCTATTTTTTCCACTATTTTAAAAAGGATCTTTATTTCTCCGTGCATTTTCCAATTGGTTAGGAAAGCTGGAGTTTTTATAAGTTGATCTTGTACCTGACTTGCCACCTTGCTGAACTCACTTTTTAGAGGTTATAATAATTTTCCTCATGTTGATTTTTCTGGATTTCCTGGTTGGCAATCATGTCATCTGCAACTGGTTTTCTTTTTAGGCTCATGCAGAGTCAAGTAAAACCTGGCTGACAGGAAAGTTCACTGAACTCAGGTTACTGCTTGATGAAGAGGAAGCGCTGGCCAAGAAATTCATTGATAAAAACACGCACCTCACCCTCCAGGTGTACAGGGAGCAGATCGAGTCTTGTGGTGAGCAAATCGACGTCATCAATGATCTCTCCAGCAGGGTCTGGGGCATCAGCCAGGAGCCCAACCCCGTCCAGCTGCTGCAGGTAATAATGCCGGTTTCTGCCCTCACGGCGACACCTACCACCCACACTGCCCCTGGGTTAGGGTGGCATTGGACACGGCGTTTACACACTGAGTAAATGTGCAGAGAATTCCCTAGTCAGCATGTGGACTTTCTCACCCCCGCATGAGTGGTCAGAAAGTATACACTATTAAGAAGACAATATACATCTTGAACTAATTCAGTCACATCGACAGCCACCATTTTTGAGGTCCTCTGTGTCCCAAGCACCTTATGTGTTAGCTCTCACATTCACCAGAACTCTGCAAAGTGGATATTCTCACCCCATTTTACGAATGAGAAATTGAGGCTCAGGGAGGTGAAGTGATTCATCCGAGGTCACGCAGCTGCTAGGTGGCAGTGCTGTGATCAGAACCCAGGTCTGTCTGACTGTAAAGCCACCAGACCTCTGCCTGAGGTCTTCACTGAGACACCCCTTCTGGAAGGGCAGCTGTCCTTGTAGCCGCGGAGCAGGCTTCAGAGCTGAGTCACAGTTTGCTCGAGGGGAGAGAAGGATGGTACTCCTTGGCCACTGGGCTCTGCTGGAGGCTATTATCTTACACTGAGGGAGCGTCTAAGAAATAGCCCCTAAGATATTCATTGCTATTTTAGTGAAAGCATCGTGTTGAGAGTGGTGGTCCTGTCTTCAAGGAACCATGGGAGAAACTCCTCTCTCGTATCACTCCCGTGAGGCCACCTGTGCGCTTGGATTGCTTTTCTACTCCTGTAACTCTTCCTGTTTCCTTCTTTGCCATGGCTTCTGGGAAGCTCAGAGCCAAGTATGTTTCAGTAGCTGGGCTGAGACTTCTTGGCATACATTTTGTGCCTCATCTCACTCTGGCTTCCTGCTTACATTCTTGTCCTTGTGTTCTGTTTGCTTCATTTTTCTTCCTGTAAAGGAAAATCTTGCAGTATTAGATAACCTTTGTAAGATGCTTTAAAGGCTTGTGGGACAACGCAGGGTACAACTAAATAAAGGTGGCACTGAGTCTAACCACAGATTAGCATGGGTTCTTGCTGGAAAATAAAACAGACAAATAAATCAGTCAGTATAAAACCAGTCAAGCCAGTCCCTGGTAGATATTTCTGCTCTTGTGCCTTTATGTCACCTTGGCCAATTCAGCCGGTGTCTCATTGTTAGCTAACAAAAAAATAAACCTAACAAAAAATTCTGGGTGAGGTGCTCTCCTAGGCACAATGGATGTTGTACTTTAAGAGGGGCAAGAGGCACAGAGGGGTACATTTGTTTGTTTCTTCTAAAATAATGGTACTTTTTAGGGATAAGCTAATACAAAGGGATGCATCCATGGAGAATAATGTTATTCTTCCATCACAGGTACAGTTTCAGGGCTTTGTCATCTTTTTTCTTTATTCTCTGGTGCCAGAGCTACTGATTTTCATCATTCCTCAGTCCTTCCTTCTATTTGCTCGTTCATGTATTCATCAGACATACACTGAGCAGCCTGCTCTGCACCAGGCCTGTGCTTCACATTAAGAGCTCATAGGTGGGGCCAGCCCCGTGGCTTAGCGGTTGGGTGCGCGCGCTCCGCTACTGGCGGCCTGGGTTCGGATCCCGGGCGCGCGCCGACGCACCGCTTCTCTGGCCATGCTGAGGCCACGTCCCACATACAGCAACTAGAAGGATGTGCAACTATGACATACAACTATCTACTGGGGCTTTGGGGGAAAGAAAAAAAGGAGGAAGATTAGTAATAGATGTTAGCTCAGAGCCGGTCTTCTTCAGCAAAAAAAAGAGGAAGATTAGCATGGATGATAGCTCAGGGCTGATCTTCCTCACAAAAAAACAAAAGAGCTCATGGGTGGGGAGACATGCTCGGAAATAGTTATTTATAACACAGCTCAAGCAAGCTAGCAAAAGTGTGTCCAAGGAAAGTCCAACTCTGTATGGGGGATCAGGGAAGACATCTAGGAGGAGGTGACAGTGGAGCTGGGTGTGGGAGGATGAGGATGAGCTCACCAGCTATATTCAGAGGGATAGAGCAGAGAGGACGTCCCAGGCAGACAGGACCCACGTGCACATGAGAGCTTGGCGGGCTGGAGAACCACCCAGGTTCAGCCTGCTGGAGGTGGGGCAGGGGTACAAGGGAGGGCATGTTGGGAGATGCTGCTGGATAGGGAGACCAGGGTTAGTTGATGAAGGGCCTTATGTGCCCGGCCATCGGGTTTGGCCTTTGTCCCGTAAAGCGAAGGGAGCCAGGGGAGTGTTTTGAACCAAGAAATGCCACAGTCAGTTTAATGCCTTAGAAAGGTCACTTTGGTGATAGGGTGGAGGACACACTGAGGCAGCCGGGGCTGGACGCTGGAAGGGAAGCTGGGAGGAGACCCCCGTGTCAGGAGAGAGATGATGGTGGCTTGGACCAGTGAAGGGGCAGTGGGGATGGGGAGAAGCAGGCAGGTTTGAGAGATGCAACTGGACTGGCAATTGGAAGTGGAGGGAATCGAAGATGACACCCAGTTTCTGGCTCGAGCTGTGCTCTCTGAGTCTGCAAAGGCCAGGAGCACATGTGTGCAGTTTCCTTCATTCCTTTATTCCATCACCAGTGTTCGTCAAGAAATGACTGTGTGTCAGGCCCTGTGCGAGGTGCTCGAGTTCGGGCTTACCAGGTGGCATTTGTCCTGCCTTCCCCTCCCCAGCACCCCCCATCTGCCCTCTGGGCCACCCTCCTGCCACTCCGGAGCCGGATGGGGCTTGGAGACCATCTCACAGCCCCCTCCCAAGGCCCAGCATCCTGCCTTGTGGGGCTGCTTCTGCCCGACCGCTGAGCACTGGGCCCCCTCCCTCCCTCCTGAGGTATCCATCCACCCATCCCGGCTTGGGCAGCACTGCCCACTAGCCAGGGCCTGCTCGCCTAAGGCAGTCTGCTGTCTTCTAAATCCTTGCTCAGGACAAACCTTCAGAAAGTGCAGACAGGGTTCTTAACTGCAAACAAGAGAATCCGCTGTAACTGTTTTAAGCAAGAGAAGAGTTTATGAGAGTATTAGGCAGCTCGCAGGAGCTCCAGGAGAGCCAGACAGTCAGGATGAAGACGAGGCCACAGCACAGGTTTGCTCCAGTGTAGACCCCACTGCTGCTCTTCTGGGCAAGACATTATAGCTCACACCACTGACCCAGGGCACCGGCTCCCAGAGCCTCAACTGCCGCTGTCCCCGGAGCTCCACACTGCTGTCACCACCTCAGCCTCCCTTCCACACCCAGGTCCTGGTGGGAGGTGCCTTGTCCCATGTCTGCACCATGGGTGCAAAGGGGCTGGGAGAGTGCGTTTTCTAGCTTCTACTTAGCAAAGCCACACCTCACACAGGAAGGGTATTTAAAACTTTTTTTTATTTTAACCCCATCAGGGTCCATTTTATTCAACCAATTTCTTTTTTTTTTTTTTATGTGAGGAAGATCAGCCCTGAGCTAACATCCATGCCAATCCTCCCCCTTTTGCTGAGGAAGACTGGCCCTGGGCTAACATCCGTGCATATCTTCCTCCACTTTACGTGGGACACCACCACAGCATGGCCCGACAAGCGATGCGTCGGTGCGCGCCCGGGATCCGAAGCCGGGCCGCCAGCAGCAGAGCTCGAGCACCTAACTGCTACACCACGGGGCCGGCCCAGGAAGGGTATTTAAAAGGTGATGTCCAGGCAGAAAACAGGACAGTCCCCACTGTGGTGTCCATACCACCTCGGTCAGCATTCCAGCTGAACTTCCAGGGCCTTTGGCTTTCCTCTTGGGACATAGTCTCCTTCTCCTTCCTTTGGACCTGCCGCAAGGGCTCCTTCCCCAGGAAAACTGGCCCCTCACTTTTTGTCCCCCTGTACCTCAGGCAGACCCCCGTCACAGGGCCCCTTGCGAGGTGGTGAGCCACCTAAGGGCAGGGGCAATCAGCCTGCCTCCTCCCTCTGCCACTGGTGCCTGCAGAGGGGGCCTCAGTGAACACGGCAGGCGGGAGCCAACAGGGCCAGCACTGACCCTGGACCCCATGTGTCCTCCAGCCCAGGGCCCACTGTGCCATTTCTCCAGCGCTCTGTTCCTGGGGGCACTGCCAGGGCAGGGGGGACCTGCGCTTGCTGGCTGGGTTTGTTCCTGGGGGCAGCGGAGGGGGCTGGGACACTGCCGTGGCTCCCAGAGCCGCCCTGAGCCCTGCGTGCCCTCACAGGAGTACACGGCCGCTGAGCAGCAGATGCGGCGGCAGATGAGCCTGGGGGAGCTGTGCCACCCCGTGCCCCTCTCCTTCGAGCCCGTCAAGAGCCTCTTTAAGGGCCTCGTGGAAGCCATGCAGAGCACGTTACAGACACCGCTGGACGTTCGCCTTAAGGAAAGTAAGTTCCTAGCACCAACCTCGTGTCCTTTACTCCCCTGGTGCCCTTTGGCCCAGAGACAACTGCGAAGATCGCCACCCCAAGTCATGTCCTTCCCATGCAGAGGCCCTTGGCTGGGCCGTCCAGAGCTCCTGGGCCTGGGCCGAGCCCACCCTTCCGACCTGCCCTCCTACCCTCCTGCGACCGTGTCCTGCCTCTCGTAGCCACCACTCCGCTTCTGCCCCTCAGTCGCTCCCAGGATTCTGCCACACAGCATCTTTGCCTGCTCTGGGCTACCGGCTGGGGTGGCCAACTCCCCCTCCTCCTCTTCCTCTACCTGGCCAAGTCCCACCATCCCTGCAGGGCCAGCACGGCTGTGCTCACCTGGAAAGCCTTTCCATGCCACCGGGGGCGCACTCCCTCTCCTGGCCGCCGCCCCCACCTGACCCCATCTCCCCTCTGGGGCTGGCCGTGAGCTGGATACATGGACCCCCTCCCTGCCTCTCATAAGTGCCTGGAGGGCGAGAACCACTTGGGGTCCAGCTCTGAGGTCCCTGCAGGGCCCGACACAAAGCACGTGCTCAGAAACATCTGTTGGTTCATTCACTCATTCATTCGTCTCTGCCGTTATGATTCACTCAGAACCTTTCCTCAGAGCCCCTGCTGTGGGCCGAGCACAGCAAGGGACAGAACAGAGCACCTGCCTCTGTGGCGCTCAGCCTTTCGGGGCAAGACAGACAACAAACGGGTGTATGTCAGTGATAAGAGGTGCTCTGGAGAAAAATCAAGCCGGGTGAGGAGAGCAGGGGTGGCCATGGCGGGGAGCTGTTTTAGATGGGGACGTGGGGCAGGCCTCTCTGAGAAGGGGCGGGTGAGCCCACCTGAAGGAAGCCTTTGATAGCCCTGCAGGTCTGAAGGGCCGGAGCACGTCGTGGTCACATGCAGGCACTCTGGAGCCAGGCTGTCCCGGTTCCTACCCCAGGCCACCACCTCCTAACCTGCCATCTCGGGCAGGGCACCTGACCTTTCTATGCCTCTGTTTCCACACTCGTAAAATGGGGACGATGATACAGCAACTTCACAGATTCATCCAGCAGCTCCTCACCACCACCCTGTGTGGCCGGCGCCTTCATTGTCCCCATTTTACAGAGAGAGAAGCTGAAGCTCAGAGAGGGTAACTGACTTGCCCCAGGTTATACAGCTGGTGGGGTAGAGGCAGAATTCAGACAGACGCTGGTCCCAGGGGCAGGCCCCCTTCCCTCCCCCAGCTCCACGTGAGGCCATCATTCTCATGATCACAGGTGCTGACTCCCCGGAACGACCCAGGAGATGGGGGACTTGCAGCACCACAGCCCTCCCAGGCTCCCCCACCCGTGTGCTCCACAGACGCTGCAGGCTCAGCAGGCCCAAGGGATCCGGCATCTTCCCCCTTCTGCTACTGCTTGACTGCACTCCCCACTCCCAGTAACAGCGAAGCCCTGGCACTTCGGCTGCTGCAGTGTTTCCTCAAGCTAGCCCCTTTTCCATCCCTGCTGCCCAGTTCCCCCCTGAGCCTCCTCACAGGGCGTCTGCCTCTGGCCCATCACTCCCCACCAGAGAGAGCTTTGGAAATTCTGCTGCTCTTGTCTGCCCTCAACCAGACACCTTCCTTGGCTCCCCGCTGTTTATGTGCCACTCCTAGCCCCTGCCCTTCATGTCTTTGTTCCTGCTGTACTCCGTTGTTGGGAAAACCTCCCATCCTTTTTTCTGGGTGTCCAAATCTTGCCCATCCCTTAAGGGCCAGCTGAGGTGCTTCCTCCTCCATGAAGCCTTCCCTGACCCCTCCAAGCCCCAGATCCCTTTCACCTCTCTTCTCTGTGACCTGGAGCACTCTCTGCCTCTGACGGTGGCTCCCGTGAGCCCATTTCTCACCTCGTTCGCCTGACTGAGCTGCGGAAGACTGGGACCGTGACTTGGGTTTCCTGTGACTCCCTGTCACCTGAGTGAGACCTGGACGTGAGCTTTCTGAGGACTCAGCTTCAGTTTCTTATTTTCCATCTTTGTCCTGGAATTTGCATTTCTGCCACGAGGTTGCCCCCATCCTCCACTGTTGAACGCACAGTTGATTCTCAGGACGGTCCTGGAGCCTGCCGTCTGCTCCCCGAGCTCAGGGCTCACTCACATGGCCCGCCCACTGCTGAATTCACTTCTGACCTGGGAAGTGCGGGTCTTCTGAGATCTGAGCGTGTCCCTGAGTATTCCTATCACTGTGAATTTGCATTTCCTACTTAAATTTGCATGTGATTCTTGGGGAGAGGTTATGCGGATCTCCAGTTTTGTAATATTTCAGTCTGTTTTATAACGTGCGCTGCTTGCGTGAGCACCACCACTCATTGCTCACAATTCCTTGCAGACATGAACTGCCAGCTCTTGGGTTCCTCCAGCGCCAAGCCGGGCTCCTTGTTGAAAACAAGCCCCTCACCAGAGCGATCGCTCTTCTTAAAATGTAAGACCCCCAGGGCGGAGGGCGGGGTGCTCGGGTGGGGGCAGGTCATGGAAATGGAGGCCCCCCTTTTTTTCCTAAGAGATCTAATTTGGGTTTTTTAACCTTTATTATTAGTTTCTTAGTACAGAAGTAATACATGTTCCTTATAGAAAAATTAGAAAACAAAGAAAAGTAAAAATTAAGAGAAAATCACTCAAATTACTGGAGAGCTTTAGAAATTCTGCTCATGTCTGCCCTAGTAGACATGTAGTAGTAGATAACTACTATTATTTTTGCCCTTTAGCTTTCTTCAGCTTATCTATATATATACACAATGATAAATATTTAATATATCTTTTTTTAACAAACATGGTGTCATACTATAAATACTATTTTGTAATCTGTGTTTTCATTTACTGATATATTGTGAACATCTTTGTTCCCTTAAAAAATTATAGAGGTAACGCCTGCTGCTTGTAGAAAATTAAAAATTACAGACATACAAATAAAACAATCGCCTCCCCCAGAGGCGATAAATGCTGTTAATATTTTGGCATATATTTTTTCAGATGTTTTAAAGGCATATATCTGTGCAGATTTTTAAAAATGGAATCATATCATAGATATTCTTTTTGTAAGTTTTTTTTTAATAATTTTATTTATTTATTTTTCCCCCAAAGCCCCAGTAGATAGTTGTATGTCACAGTTGCACATCCTTCTAGTTGCTGTATGTGGGACGCGGCCTCAGCATGGCTGGAGAAGCGGTGCGTTGGTGCGCGCCTGGGATCCGAACCTGAGCCGCCAGTAATCTGAGTGTGCACACTTAACCGCTAAGCCACGGGGCCGGCCCCTCTGTGCATGTCTTTTGATGCACATATGTATGCATTTCTCTTGAGTGAGAGAAAAGGATGCCCACTATAACCACTTCTATGCTACATTGTTCGAGATGTCCTAGACAGTGCCTTTAGGCAAGAAAAAGAAATTAAAACTATAAGGATTGGAAAAAGGAAAAAAAGATCATTATTCATAGATGACATGATTATTTACAGAAAATCCAAAGTAATCTACAGATAAATTAGAATTACTAACTGAATGTAGAACAGCTGCTGGATATAATGTCCTTATACAAAAATATATCATATTTCTATATATTGGCAATAAACAATTAGAAAATGAAATTTTAGGGCCAGCCCTGGTGGCCTAGTGGTTAAGTTTGGTGCGCTCCATTTTGGCAGCCTGGGTTCTGTTCCTGAGTGCAGACCTACAGCACTAGTTGGCAGCCATGCTGTGGTGGTGACCCACATACAAAATAGAGGAAGATTGGCAACAGATGTTAGCTCAGAGAGACTCTTCCTCAGCAAAAAAAAAAAAGAAAATGAAATTTTAAAAACATTATTTTCAGTAATATTTTTTAAAAACTAGGAATAAATCTAACAAAAGATGTACAAAACCTCTCTACAGAAAACTCCAAAACATTACTGAGAAAACTATTTGGCAGTTTCTACTAAAGCTGAACATCCACATACCCTACAATCTAGACTTTCTTTTTTAACTTCATGTCTAGTATGTGGCATAATGCAAGGAGAACTATTATTGGGAGTTTAAATCACTGCCACCTCTCTGGAGGACACCAGGCAATATTTACCAAAGGTCTTAAAAAACACCTATCCCTGTTGATCCAGCAATTCCTCTTTTAAGAATACATCCTAAAGAAATAATTAGACACATAGAGATGTAATCATATTAGTGTTTTCAAAAGCTTTTTTAAAAGCCTAAATATTTTTTTAAAAGGGGGAGGGATAGGTTAACTTATAATGCATCCATACATCAAAATCTTAGAGTCGCCATTAAAATGCTCTTATAAAAGAATATTATTTGATGTGATAAAATGTTCATAAATACATCAATAAATTTGAAAAAGCAGATTACCCAAGAGCATGTATGGTATGATACCAATGTTAAGAAAAACTATAAAGCAGCAAGTAGAGGAAAAAATTGGAAGGATATACACCCAAGTGTTAACAGCGATAGGATTATTTTTAATTAAATTTTTAGAAATTGGCAACGAATTCCCTGGTACAAAATTCAAACGGTACAATGGATGTACAAATTTTCTCTCCTTCCCGTATTCCCCCAGCCACCTCCCCAGAGGCAATGAGGGTTAAAAGGGTGGCACTCCATTTCTCCGTGGGGGACTTCCCGGGTCCTCCCGTGTGCTCCTGCGAACACGCGCGGGGCGGCGGGCGCGGGCGGGGCCGGGCTCTGGGGCGGGGCGCCGCGCTGGCCCCGCCCACCAGGCTGGCCCGCTGTCCCCGCCCGCAGACGCGCGCACGCCCTCGCTGGATCCGGACACGATGCACGCGCGCCTGCGCCTCTCGGCCGACCGCCTGACGGTGCGCTGCGCCCTGCTCGGCTCCCTGGGGCGCGCGCCCGCGCTGCGCTTCGACGCGCTGTGGCAGGTGCTGGGCCGCGACTGCTTCGCCGCGGGCCGCCACTACTGGGAGGTGGACGTGCAGGAGGCGGGCGTCGGCTGGTGGGTGGGCGCGGCCTGCGGCCGCCGCCCGCCTGGGCTGCAACCGCCAGTCGTGGTGCCTGAAGCGCTACGACCTGGAGTACTGGGCTTTCCACGACGGCCAGCGCAGCCGCCTGCGGCCCCGCGGCGACCCGGACCGGCTCGGCGTCTTCCTGGATTACGAGGCCGGCGTGCTCGCCTTCTACGACGTGACTGGCGGCATGAGCCACCTGCACACCTTCCGCGCCGCCTTCCAGGAGCCGCTCTACCCGGCCCTGCGGCTCTGGGAGGGGGCCATCAGCATCCCCCGGCTGCCCTAGCGGAGCCCAGAGAGACGGGGCTGGGCAACGGCCTACTCTCTAAGCACCCCCTCCTCTCCCCATCAGTCAGGCCCCGTGCTTTGAACAGTTCCTCTCCTAGGCTCGTTTCAGACATGCCCTACACACAGGTCCTCTGCCACTGCTCTCTCCCCAGACCCACCGCACCAGGGCACCTGTACTACACTCCTTTCAGTCCAGGTGCCTGAAAGGACACCCCACAGGGAGCCCTAAGCATCCTGACCGTGGCAGAATACACTGTCCTGAGCCTCCCACCTCCTCATACAGCACCCAGAACACCTGGCACATAGTAGGCACACAATAAATATGTAAATGAATGAGAGTCACCCAGCCCTGACTCTTCATTCGTTAATGTCCCTTGGATCTGCCGCCTCCTCTCCACTCTACTTCAGCTTGTCCATGTCACCTCCCTCCAGAGCGGCTGCAAGAGCCTCTTAACACCTCCCGGCCTAAATCCTCTCCCATCCTCGTCCTCCACCCTACAGCCAGAGTGATCTGCCTAAAACCTCACTTCACCTCTTAGAACTATCAGGAGTTTCCCAAGGACTACAAGGGAAAAAAACAAGCACTTTACCTTAGCATTCAAGGCTTTTCTAGTCTGACCCAAACTATGTATCCTCATAGTTCCTCCTCCTCATAGCAGGAGACCCAGCTCCTGCTGCTCTTTTCAGAGACCCTCCAATCAGAATGGCATCACACAGCCTCATCTCTACACTCCGCCTTTGCTGCTGGCTTTCCCCGTGCCCCATACACACATTTATATAGGAAAGCACTTTCTTCCTCTCTCTGCCGGTCTGTCTTCCCCAGGCTTAACTGCTGCAGGAAGTCTCCCCAGCCACAAGAATTGCCCTCTCTTACTGTCAGAGCCACAAATCTGGGACCTGTCTTTCAAACTAGATTGGAAGCTTTCTAAGAGCAGCTATGTCCTATACCTTCCCCACCCTCCCAGGCAGTGAGGGAATGACCAGCAGCCGGCTGTCATTGAATCACAGCACAGGTGAGCTGGGAGGGCCTCACAGATCACTCAGCCCAACCTCACTGTACATTTGGGGAGACTAAGGTCCCAAAAGAAAGTTGCTGAAAGTCACCCATGGTGATTAAGGGCTGGGCCACCCCCAGCCCCCAGGCAAGTGTCTGACTTGCCCCCTGGCCGAGCCCTTCAGGCCCAGCTTTCAACCTGGGAGATTTTACTGCTCATTCATTTCTCAGGGGATGTTGGGAAGAAAGCAGTAGGTGACTGTTGCTAAGCAACCACAGCAGTTTTCCCAACTGTCTTGGAATCCAGGGGATGGTTTGGGCAGCCCAGATATCCCCATGCTCCTCAGATCCAGATCCTTCTGGGTTGCCAAGGAAACCCAGAGAACCCCGTTTTCCAGAAAGAAGTGACGGAAATAGAGAAGGCCGGCTCCTCTAGAGAGAGGGAAAGGCCTCTTTCCAGGGTCTGGGCCTCAGTTCTGAAGGTTCGGTATCCTGATTTGTCAAATTCCCTAGATGGTTTTGAAGTTATACTGTGTTAACATATCTTGTTAGGCGCTAGCAGGAGGGCAGCAGTCAGGAGAGGAAAACGGAAAGCTGCGTCTCCCTTATGGTTTAACCAGACTCAGTGCATTAATTAGTTTGAACCATTTAAAATTGCCAGTTGCTAAAAATGGCACTTTCATACGGGGCAATGTAATACAAGTGGAAGGCGCTTCAAAAGTGCCTTTAGTTCTAATCAAAGCATTTAAAACTCAAGCTTGCATAGATGTCTAAGCACTTTGCTCCAGGCATCCTGAGGAAAGGGAACTTAATTCTCCTGGGGCTGGTCCTGAGCTGAATTCTGACAGGCGGAGGGCATTCCTGACAGAAGCAGGTGGGTGCACTTGATCCACATCCCTGCAAACCAAGACTTGTTCCCAGGCCCACAGCCATGGGGGCCCAGTCTTACCAGCTCTTGCGATTTTGTCAGGGCTGTTCCCATGCTTTACAACTATTAACTCATTCAATCCTCACCTCATCCCTAGGAGGTAGGAAGTTATCCCAATTCTGCATTATGGCAAAATTGAGACACAGAATGAGTAACTTGCCCAAGGGCACACAGCTAACATGGCACTGGAGTCTGTGCTCATGTCCACCAGGCCGTACTGTTGGAGCGAGCACAGCAGGTCTCTGGCCGGCGCCTGCGCGCTCTGCCCGCCTCGTCAGGCCTGTGACCCTCTGTTTTTGCCTGGTTACTCTGTGGGACTAGAGCCTACCTTTGGGTGACCTCCCTTGGGCTCTGAGATGAGGTCTAACACCAGAGGGGGATTTGAGAGTTTGGATTTGTGTAGCAGAGACAGAGCTGGACTATAAAGGACGAAACTGGCTCTTATCCAATGCCTACTCTGGGCCAAGGCTGTGCTAGTCAGAAAACTGCAGTTTTGGTCCACAATCAGGTGTGGCCTCTGGCTAGTCACTTGTTACTTCTTGGAGCGTCATGTGTAAAACGGGGGTAATGACCCTTCCTGTCAGTGTTGCGAGGCTCAAATGAGCCCAAGGGTGTGAACTTGACCTCAAAACCGTCCAGTGCTGTACAGGCCGGGACCTCTGAGCATCCCTGCAGAGCTCCTGTTGGGCCTGACGTCGTGCTGAGACAGCTGATGTTCCTGGCTGCCCTCTGGCAGCAGCAGGAACCTCCCTGAATATTCTCAGTGCAGAACTGAGCTTCCTTGGGGTCCCCGTCTGTAAGGGTACTGATCACTTATTCTCTTTCAGATTTGAATTTGTAGAAATTTCTTTACTGATACAGCAAATTTCTTGCAGATATTTTTAAATGACTGCAATTTTCTAATATGTGGTTTGTGTTAATAAAATATGAATACTGTCCCTTTTAACCATGTTCTTCATTGGGAGTTCATGTTGCTTCAAGTACACAGCACCGAGGCCTGGCCGGGGCCTTGCTCATCTCCCGTCTCTTCCACAACTTTCTTGTGGTAGTTGGCTGGTCCCCGATTGACTATCTCCAGTGATGGGGAGTTCACTACTTCTCAAGATCACTCACTACGGTCTTGCTTATGTGGAAACAAACCCTGCCTCCCCACTGTTCCTATTATGTAGCTTTTGGCATCTTTGTGATCATCCTTGAGCAACACTGAAGCCGCTTATGGTCCCCTACTAACTTTCAGAGATTTCAGGGACCCTCCCTTGCCTACTGCATCGTCTCTTCATTTCTGCAGTTCCACTTTGTCAAGGAGCAGGGGACAGTGATGTCAGCCTAGTGGAGGCACAGCCTAGCAGAGGACACACAGAGGTGGCCCTGCACAGCCAGGGACTGGTGGGCAGGAGTCTGTACGAGGAGGAGGGGACAGCCTGCCCAGGAAGCCAGGCTGCATACAAGGAGGAGTAAGCATGGGTGGGGGCCCAGGGCTGAGTCCACTATGTCCTGCTCAGAAGCCTTGCATGGCTCCCCGTTGCCTATAGAACAAAGTCCAAACTCAGCAGACTTTTAAGCCCTTGCTTCCTTCCTCACCACCTTCCAAAACCCTTCCTCTCCCTGTGGCCATTCCCTGCCACACCATTACCTGCTAGTCTCTGGACACTCTGGGCACTCCCCAAGCCTAGGCCCCAAATCCCATGATGCCTGCCTCAGTCACCTGTCAACCTGCAAGGCTGAACTAAAGTGCCACCTCCTCCAGGAGGCCTTCCCTGGCCACACCTCCTCTCCCATCCCCACTCCCATGGCTCCCATGACTCCTGGAAAACCTCTCAGCGACAAGAGATTTTCACATATTGAGGTATGTGGGGTAACTTCTGGTTCAAAACTGATTCAGCATGAACTAAAGAAACCTGACTTAGGGCCCATCACACACACCGTACACCTGCTTTAACCATACAAGAATGCGCTCTTAAGAAGGCATACTTGCTGGGCCGGCCCTGTGGCTTGGTGGTTAAGTGCGCGCGCTGCGATGCTGGTGGCCCGGGTTCGGATCCCGGGTGCGCATCGAGGCACCACTTCTCCGTTCATCCTGAGGCCGAGTCCCACATACAGCAACTAGAAGGATGTGCAGCTACGACACACAACTATCCACTGGGGCTTTGGGGGGAAAAATAAAATAAATAAAATCTTTAAAAAAAAAAAAAAAAAGAAGGCATACTTGCCCTCCTCCACCCTATCGGTAACACCTGTGTTAGTCCCTTTCCCGACATCAGGGCCCTGTTGACCTGCTAATTTGGAACTCAGTACCTCTTTGAAACTTGGATGAATACGTATCCTGGGTGTGTTTAATATATGTTCTTTGTTCTAAAAAGGTTTAAGACTATATTGAAAACCATGTTTCTCCAGAATGCTTTCTTCCTTTGTGGAAACTGTCTTCCCAGGTTATAATCTTCAATTTGGCTCAAGTAAAACTCACCTCTCTCTCTTCCATCTATAGAATGGTTATTGGTTATTTTTCATCAGCATCAGCAATTCACACACGCAGGGTGCTGTTTGTGGAAGTCCCTGTGCCGGACAGGCCGTGAACTCGGACAGGGACACCTGCTGCCTCACGGTGGGCCCCGTACTGCCCCTTACCTGGCAGGCGCTCATGTCTTCTAGACCTGAGATTCCCAGCCTGAATGGGCCAGCACTGTGCCTGGATATGGAGCCTCCAGCCCTCGGGCAGCCCGGCCAGCATGAGGTGGCCAGTGGCTACCGGTGCAGGCAGCCCCATGGGTGATCACGCCTGTCACACAGGCTGTCATCCTCTCTGCATGCCCTGGTGGGAAGCATGTTCTAGACACTGGCCCTCCTTCACAGTTCTCTCCAACACATCACACAGTCCTCTACACAGAAGACAGAGGTTAGACCCGTGACCTCAGTGGCTCTTCCAGCCCTGCGCCTCACTGATTCCTGCCCTCTTGAGACATCCAGCTGAGGTGTACAGAGCAGCCTGGGCCCTCCTAACATCCAGTCTGACAGGCCTGGCGGCAACTGACTGATTCCATGCTGGAACCACCCACTGCAGATTCTCAGCTAGAGCCAGGCCAGGCCCTGCCCCCGTC